GTGCAAATTGAAGGGTGTTGGCTTTGATTGAACTTGGAATGAAATGGCAAACGCTGGATATGGGTTTGAGCAAATAGTTGTTGTTGTTGTTTTTTTTTTTTTTAAAGAAAAGAAACACTTAGATCAAAAGGGTGCTTTGAAAAAAAACACGTCAAAACGAAAGAAGTAGAGCATGGCGCAAAACAGGACAAGATCCCGAAAGTGAAACTTCCCATGCGTCACTCCTCCCCAGAGCTCAGTCTGCGAACTCAAAGCCGGCCTCAAGGGAGGCTGCTGCCACCGCAGCAAAGTCTTCAAAGGACCTGCGTTCGAGCTTCAAAACATCCGCTCCAACAAACAAACACGTGGCAAACAGTTGCGTCAAACTTCCCGTCACAAAGTAGCTCAGAACTTCTGCCAACTATTGGGAACCCCCTGCCCACCCGGTCCTCTTATCCCTCGTGGGGTGCTCCTCGGGTCCTTCCTCTGGGCTTCCTGTGAAGATGTTCTGGTTGGTTTCTTTTTGGGTCACCAGAAGGGTCACCAGAAGGGTTCCTGGTGTGGGTCTGCCTGGTTTGATATTGTTTCCGTTAGAGGCATCACACAAGGGAGTCACATGACGCTGTTGAAGAGTTCCCCACTCTTGGCAAGGTCTACCGGAACGTAACCCATGAGGTCTGCAAATGGAAGCCCCAAACGTCCTTGAAAGCAACCCAAAGGTTCCGTCCCGGTAAAATGGCTGGAGGCCACCTCATGGTTTTTTTTTTTGTGACTTTGAAGGGAAACCAAACGGAAAACCGGGTCCCCCAAAGGACACACCCATACGGGTGTACCGTCTTTGTACACTTGGTGGAAGGAAAATCGTGGCAGCGCTTTGAGACAACTCCTTTTGCTTCCAGTCTTGCTGGTCCCTGAATTGGGAAACGACCAAATATGCTTTGGAAAACATTTTGGAAGGAACGACATGGTGTCTGATATGCTATTCTCGTTTTTCGCTGCTCATAATTCCCCAGATTGTTTGCTGTTTGGCTTTGTAATCTTTCTCCCACCTAGATTCAGCCCCCGACATGCCGGCACTCGGCAGTGGATCCTGCTTTCGGATGGTTCTGCCTATCTGCGATTGCTATGACAAAAAAAGTTGGTGCTTCGCTCTTGCAGCCTCAATTTCCACATGGCCACCCCCAGCTATTGATCCCTGCCTGCATCAATACGGAGGCCAAGGCTTTGGCCACACCCTCGGCCTGGCAAAAACCTGGCAAACCACAGTCAACTTCCACTCAACACCTGTACAGGAACCCGTCTTTTGATCACAGAAATCCGGATCCCTGGAACACAGTGGTTGTTTTGCCGGAAGGCTTCTACCACGCAAGAGCATTTCAGCCGGAAAGAGATCCCATGTGAAAGAAACACAAGCATAACACCAGCATCATTATAGAATGGCTGATTGCTCAACATCGCACTTTCAATGGTGAGACCTGGGTTGACTAATCTACGCAACTTTGAAGAAACACCGCTCATCCCCCCCCCCCCCTCCCCGCCCGCTGCATGCCACCAAAACAGCAAGTGCCCTTGCAGAGGCACAGATCTCCCAGCCCTCCCCAAGAAAGAACACTGGAAAGGAGGAACAAAACCCAACACCTCCCCGTCCCTCCCGTCCTGGGCAAGCGTGGGGGCTTTCTGCACCAGGTCTCCCTTTCGTCTTGGAAGCTGCTCCCTCGCGCGAGGAAAGCTTTCGGGAGCCACACCTTGAGGTCGGGGAGGGTTGGGCAGCTGGGATGCACCAGGTGTGCGAGTCGGACTCCGGCTCGAACTCGCTTTTGGTTGGGAGATAAAACACTTTTAAAAAAAGGGAAGCCCAAAAAGCCGCCGAAAACACTTCCTCAGCCATTTTCTCAACTTTCGCGTGTCCCATCCACCCATTGGGCTGGGGGGTTCTTTCAGGGGGGCGAGGCGAGCGGGCGGCGCTGAGGCGCCGAGGCTCCGGGCCGCCACGCAGGCCAAGTTGGGATTGGCCCTCGGCTGGGGTTTGGGGATGCTGGGGGGGTTGGTTGGGGTTGGTTTGGTTGGGTTGGTTGGGTGAGGTTTTGGTTGGGTTAATTGGTTCGATGGGGGTTTGGCTGGGGTCCTCCAAGGGCCTCACCTTCAAAACATGTGTGCATTTGGGTAGCCGTCCGTTGCGTCTAAGGGGGGCTTCGGGGAATCTGTCCTTCTTGGTTCGAATGTTTGAGCAAGAGCAAAGTGGTGAAATCCAACCAACCGAACCATCAGGTAGCCACAAGCAAGTCCAAGTCGCGGAAAACGCAAGCTGTGCTCACCGAAATCCATCCCCGTCTGCCAGAACTACAAATTCCTGGCAACCTGTGCAGGTCACTTAAAATCTAAACCAGCCACCCCCGTGGACTGAAGCGCCTCCCTTTGATAAGGACTCTTGGTTCGCAGCAAGGTTGCAATAACCTTGCAATCAAACACCCGCCCAAGCGCAACTTCTCCCCATCCTCAAACAACTACTTGCCTCACGCCTCCCATCCTTTGCACCCCAACGCGCTAGCGCGGCTCAGCTGCAAAGGCCTCCAATGAGATGGCGGCAGCTCACCTGCACGGATATGTCACTTGGGTGATTACATTTGGGTGTGCCAAAACAAGGGTCAAACCGATGCTTTTCGCTTTGGCTTCCCTTTGAACCCACGTGAAAACGGCTGTTTTGATAATTGACCCACAAATCGTGAAAAAGAGAAAGAACCCAACAAACGGAGGAAGCCGCCCGCCGGAAACCGAGCCCCCCGCCCCGCCGCCCCCGGCCTCAGACGCTCCTTGGACAGCGGCGCTTTCTGCAGCTCCGCCAGCCGCTCCTGCGGCAGGGCCGCCCCCGGGGCCTCCGATCCGAGCACCGCGATGCAGTTCGGTGGAGAGGAGGAAAAAAAGCGACGCGTGACTTGCGTGCTGTTTCTTGATTTGTTGTTCATGGTATCTCGACGACTCTTGGGGACTTCACATGGTTTTTGTGTTTGGTCGGTTTCTTACGACTATGATTTGAAAGCCCGAAGGAAAAGGGGTTGGTAAGGGAAGCACAGCACACGGCCCGTTTTGCTCATGTCAGACCTGGGCCCCAGGCAGTCCAGGCCTGGCTGAAGGAGCCCGAAGAAGGACAGAGCAAAGGACCGACCGAACTCGGACACCGTGAGAGCCTTCCGAGCGTGGCCCGGCCTGGGTCCGCAAGCCCAGGACTGCGTCCTGTCTGGACTGGGACAGCATTCCGTCAGAATCTTCCGTTTTCGACACCCAAAAGAACGGGGCCCCACATGGAACCTAGCTGGCTCTGTCCTGCTAAGAAACCCTGTTGACCAAGTCATGGTGCAGAACAACTGTGAGGCGCAGCCCTTCACCCCGAACATGACGTCCGGAAACGGCTCCGGGTTGTCGGGTTGAAGTTGAAGTTTGTGGAGCACCGTGTCCGCCTCAGACCCGAAAGAGGTGCGAGTAACCCTCGTTCCAACTTCTCTGGGCATCCTTGTCAAACATCCCAAATATTCGGCCTGTCCGAACTCAGGCCCTGGGCCACAATCAAGACCTGATACGGCAAGGGTCTCCCAAAACCATCAAAATACCTTCGCCTGGGGCTTCGATTGCCCAAACCATCCTCTCAGGTCCCACCCTCCAGGTTTCGAGCCATGCAAGTCGTCCAGCCGCGCTTAAAAGTTCGGCCGGAGCTTGAGCAAGGGTCTCGAGCACCACGCGTAGCGTTTGCGAAAGCGACACCCAGTGAAACTAGCCATGGTGTCTATGGTGCCATAGTGCCATGGCGCCATTTGGAGGCACGCAAACTTGCTGGGGGTTCTCCGTTGGATCCAGTGAAGGGGCAATCGGCAATCCAGCAAGGTCCGGCAAGCATTAGAAGAAAACAACTTTTCTCGGGCAGGTTTGCTTGCGCGCCCAGCGCCCGCAGGCTTTACGACTTTGCTGACAACATAGGGGTACTGGTAGGGGTACTGGATATTTGTCAAAAAGGAATTCAGTTCCAGTACGCCAACGCACAAACGAAACAGCTCCTCCAATCGAATCTGAACAGACAATGTCATGTGCTCACACAAGCCACTCGCTGGTCAATCCATCCAACTTGCGACGAAATTGAATGTAAGAGCCACATGCCTGGGCCAGTTCGGCTGTTTGCGTTCGATGCGAAGTTTGTTGCTCTTTGGATCCGGCCTGTCAAACATGGCATGGAGCCAGGGTCCACAAGCCCCCAATCAATTCGAAGTCTAGACTCATGGAAGTTACCCACGTTCATTTCTGCCAACCTGCGACAACATGTGACGCACCCTTGTTTGCCTCGCTGGGTGCCCGGGTCGGATCAGAGCGACGGAGCGATCTGTTTGATGCGCTCCGCACATGCCCAATTTGCCTCATTGGTTTCGGGCAGCCATGTGATGAAGTTTGAGCTCCAGTTTTGTACCCTGGACATGTCCCTTACTGCACTCACACACCCACAAGCCGCCACAGCTGCGATTTGTCCTCTTTAGGAGAAACGCAACCTGCTGCTGATGCTAGCTGCAATCCAGCCGGAATGATTGGTGACGCCATGCACTCACTTGGTCCAGGCACCTTCGAAAACCAACCGAACCGTTGACTCGGAGGTTTAGTTGTTTCAGGAGCATGTCCAGGATTCAGTGGGATGCTGTGAAGACTCTTTTCCCCTTTGTCCTCTTGAAAAAACAGCCAAATTGCCAAAGCAAGACGTTTGCTGCCAAATCCACAAAACAAGTGATGTTGGGTGCAGCGAGTACTTGAGCATGTTCAGCCAAACCACAAAACCGGGCGTAACCACTTGAGACTATTTGGATTGCGATGGGAGAAAGGACTGACCCTTGTCAACCGGGACCAGCCCGGGTCTGAGAGGAACAAACCACAACAAAGGTGGAAACAAACATGACCACCAGGCAGAGTCAGTGTACAACAATGTGTGGACAAACCAAAATGCCCGAGAGCGTGTGATGCCATCGGAAAACTCCACCCTGCGCCTTTTCTCAAGTTGATCTCCAGGTCAGGTCCAGTCCTTGGGCTTTCTTCTCCGCAACCACCTTCCGGAGGGCCTGGCCCAACCAGAGTCACTGTGGGCTGTCAGCTCTTCTGTATCGCCACAACTACGGTGAAAAATCGGAAGAGCCCGAGACAAAACTCAAACGAAACGTAACCAAGGTTCAGATTTCACTCGGGATTGGAGACTTCAGCTTGTATCAACTCACCTTTCCTTCGGTAAGAAAACAAACACAATGATGACAATAACATTACAAAGCCATGAAGAAAAATGTCCGAAGAATAGAAACACATGCTGGAATTGTGTGTCTCCACTTTTCGACGGCAACCGTCCTATGCACTTTGGAGATCCTTCGAGAGATGCAAGAGAATGTCTAACATCTGAGAGAAACAGTGCTTCGGTTGAAGGCTGGAAATGCTAAGTGGGAGGCACCCAAACCCTTAATAACAAAGTGGATAACCTTGGACAAATTGGGAACTGAAACTGAGCCTCGAGCCCAAGAAGCTTGAGAAGCTTGCCAATGGAGATCTTTCGAGCCGATGAAGACCACAACCATTGATAGACAACCTGCAAGGGCGTCCTGGTGCGCTTCCAATGCGTCAAGGCGGCGAGGAGGCTTTGGAGCTGGAGACAGCGAGAGATGATGTGGTGAAGGATGGAGGCATGCCCTGGCGTGTGGAGAAGAGGCTGCAGGCTATGAGCTCTTTAGGAATCAGGCTAATGGGCCTAAAGGCTTGAGCGAATGGAAGACGGATAGTCAGTAGCCTCCTACGCACAACATTGCTTGAAGTTCGGCACATTGGATTCAGATCTGCCAGTCCGATATGGACCACAAACATTGAGACTCCACGCGCTGGTCAAACATGCGGTTGTCCTAACATACCAATCATCCAATCGGCCACAGGTGAGGAATATAAAGCTACATGCTTCCAAAACACCCACAAAAGCACCAGTCGGTAAGTTTGGGTACATCTCGGGCAGTCAACAAGAATCGTGACCCAAACTGAAGATATTTTGCAAGCCGATTGTTCCTCACACTTCTAGATGCGGCCTCCACAAGTTCGACCCGCCCGTCGCCACGCCTCGGCGCCCGGGTCACCGATGTCGTTCAAGCCAATCTGGATCGTCGTGAGGCTTCTGTTGAGCTTCAGTGCCTCGCGATGGCCTGGCAGAGCGTCGACGCCGACCCTGTAGGACCTATACGGCTGGAAACAAAAACACTCAAAAGTCCCAAAAGGTTGGATTTTGAAGATTTCAGTTTGTAGCAACTACAACAAGTTGGTGAGAAACAATTCGCAATGACAACAGTATGTCAAAACGATTGAGAAAATGGTCACTGGCATGGATTATTGCCTCGACTTTCCGATGGCAACCTCAGAGGATTAACTGCCATTCTGACCCTGGAAAACACGGGCGACAGCCCAAAACAATTGGATAGCTTCAATAGCTTGTCCGCCATGATAGCCTTTGCGCCGGCAAGGGGTGGACATGGCCAGGAAGCGCAGACCGGAAGCTTTGCGGGAGATGCTGCGGCAGAGGATCTGTGAAAATGTTGCCTTCCGGATGGAGGGACCGCAGCCGTGGTGCCCGCTCTGGAAGACCCGTTTCATCGCGCGTCGTATCACCGAGGATGCCTTCTGGGGGACCAAGAAGGAGGCAAGGGTGAGCTCGGCCAGGGCTCGCGATGCCATCAAGATCAAGGAAGATGGACAGAAAAAGTTTAGGGTCGAAGGAAGCTCCTGTGATGTTGAGAAAGCCCGAAAGTCCAAGATCTCATTGCAGACCAAGACCTGCGTGAGTGAGCTGGCACCAGCCATGGTCGACAGGTCAACCCCTACACTTGTTCCAGCATGTGAGACACAGCCGGCGTGGATGGCGTGGATTTGAAGACGGCCCTCTTGCAGGTGTGCGTGCAAACGGCGGGGATTGAAGAGGCATGCAGACTTGTTCTGTTGCTCTTGGCAACGCTTTTGTTGCTCCTAAGCGCTTCTGCGATCGCCTGGCAGAGCGTTGAGGCCGACCCTGCAAATCCCACGGCTGGAAAGAAAAAACACACTCCCAAGGCTGGAAGTGAAAGTGCTCAATGGCACTGCCTTTGAGAGCCCGGATCTGCAGAGCCAACCCAGGGTAACAGGGTGTCCCTGGATAGGGGCTTCTTGGCATCAGGACCGGAAGCTATGAAGGCAGAGCGAGATGATGGCATTGTTGGGCTCCTGTAGCCACAGGAGCAGTGGGAGGTGGAAAGGGCGGTGAATCCCTACGCCAGCGGAAGAGGTGAGGAGGACTGAGGCTCGCGAAGCGGATTGGTGGTGGACGTTTCCTATTGGCTCGAAAACTGAAGCGCAAGGAGATGTTTTTGCAGGCGGAGGGCAAGTTGGAAGAGGCGCCCAGCTGGCAACCGTGGAGGGATACAGACGCGAGGCCACCGTGCCTCACGAGGACCTGGCCCATCTTCTAGAGCGGAGATCGTGGCTCGCCTCATGGCCCTCAGCCAGGCTTCCTGCGCCCATTTCATTTCACCCCGAGAAGGGTTTGGCTTTCACTCCTTGCGTGAAGAGCATCGGGCCTCTCAGGCCGAGATGCCCTTCTCCACCGCCTCATCAGCCGTCTTGCCGAACTGAGTCGTTCCCGACGCAGCGGCCGTGGTCTGCCAATGTTTTGCGCATCGCTTTGCTTTGGAATGCTGTCATCATGAGTTGCTATGAAATCTCCCCAAGTGAATCCAGAGCCGCCGTTTTGAAGCCTCCTCGCATCCGTCCTCAACCTCGAGAGCGTTGTGGCAGCTCTATCAAGACGGTCCTGGGTGTTGCTGCCTCATGTTATGCTTTGAGTGGACCTTCAGGTCCACACACAGCGCCGCCCGCTACAATTTGGCCGACGAGCGGCTTGATCTCGAGGATCCGCTGTTGGATTCAAGCCCAGGCGTCAGGTTCCCGAACCCCTGAGCTCCCTGATCTTGCGCCGCAGGTTGAGGGCCCATTTCCTCTTCCAATATGCTTCGGCACTTCCAGGAACATCTCCTTCGGCTTCCGCAGCAAAGCTCCGCCTTCTTTACACTGGGTCCGCTTGCCTCCCACTAGAGCGCTACCCGATCCAGGAAGCCACGGCTGGGCCTTCCCCATGTCCAGGGCGTCGGGCTCATTGAAGCTACGGAAGGCAGGCAGCCAATAGTTCAGGCTGCCACCCATGTTTTCCAGGGTCAGAATGGCGTGTGTGGTTCTTTTTTGGACCATTTTGCTCGATCTCTTTGACATCATTGCGAATCTGTTCTCACCAACTTGTTAGTTGCTACCAAGTGAAATCTCCAAAATCCCAGTGGACTCTTCAACCTTTGGTGTGTTTTTGTTTCCAGCCGTATAGGTCCTACAGGGTTGGCGTCGACGCTCTGCCAGGCCATCGCTGAGGCACTGAAGATCAACAGAAGCCTCACGACGATCAACCTTGACAACAACGACTTCGGTGACCCAGGCGCCGAGGCGGGTCGAACTTGTGGAGGCCGCATCTAGAAGTGTGAGGAGCAATCGGCTTATCTTCAGTTTGGGTCACGATTCTTGTTGACTGCCCGAGATGTACCCAAACTTACCAACTGGTGCTTTTGTGGGTGTTTGAAGTTTGGAAGCGACATCGGAAATGCAGCTATATATTCCTCACCTGTGGCCGATTGGATGATTGGTATGTTAGGACAACCGCATGTTTGACGAGCGCGTGGAGTATAGTTTGAAAGTTACATTGGGAGTACGTGCTGGTTTCAATCTAGAGTCTCGATTGGGTTTCTTCGCTTCAGCCGAGCTCTTTGAAAGCTTTGTCGAATTCCAGCTTTTGGTTTCCAGCTTCCCGGTTGGGTCGCAGCGGCCAGTGGCGCTTGAGAGTTTCGCAGATCTTCCTATAGCTTCTTAGCTTGCGAAATATGTGATGAAAGGAGCGTCACGGGCTCGCGTGCAAACCTGCGCTTCTTCATGAGTCTGAGTGGGGGCATGCAGAACTCATCAGAGAAGTGATTTACTTTACCTTTGATTTTGCCAAACTGACTGTGCTCTAGGATGGGCGGCAAGCAGGCTCAAGAGCAACATCTCACATGGTTTCCCAACGTTGCGGCCCACATCGGAGCGGCAGATCTCAATTGCCAAGCTTCTCAAATTGATTTTTCAAAGAGAGCACCCCAGGCTCAGTTTTGGTGCCCAATTTTTCCTTTCAGACCCTTGCATTTCTGCCCAGCACGCCAAGGCCGCCAAGGCGCAAAGCTCATTCCCCAACTCGGAACCGTTCGTGTCATCCTCCTGATCACGCCACCTTCGCTTCTGCACTCCTTTTTTTGTCGAGCAGCTCCCATCCGTGAGTGTTGGCAGAGTCATCCATGCCGACTGCCGAGCTTCCTTGGTGAACCTACCAAGTCTGGAGCTGTGGGGTCTCCTTGCCGGAAGGCCGTAGTACTTGAGCTTGGATCTCATCTCCTTCGCCACAGAGCTTTCCGGATCACTGGTCTCTCCATCTGAAAGGGCAGCATTTTCCGGATCCATGTAGAGCGTCTTTCGCGTTGTCAGTGGTGGGAGTGCAGACATGCCTCAACCTCTGGACCTCGAGTTGCGTTTCCGCCTAGTCTGCCTATGATGGCTCGGACCTTGCAGGCCAGCAGCTCCATGAAGTGTCCACGCACCCTCCAAGTGGGGCCGCCAGCTCTATCAAGGCAAAAGATGTCGGTGGCCCTCGCACATCCCTTCATGCCGTCGGAACGCTCAACTCAATCGGCCAGGCCTTCATTCCACACAAGGTGTCCAAGACCCCAGGACGGGTCGGTCAGCTCAAGGACCGATCTCAAGCGCACAGCAAAGTCTCGCTCCAAAGGCCAAGATCAAGGGTGTGGAGTGCTTGGTGAGAGTCCGTGGGTGCACGACGTTCCTCAGCTACCTGTGTTGCAAGAAGCGTGACGGGCTCGATGGCCGTTGGAATGGTCCTGTTGGGCATGAATGGCATGGTCACTGGCGGAGGCATCTGCAGCGCAAGATCGGGAAGCCCAGCTTTGGGTGTTGGGAACTTGAGCGCGAGCTCGAATCCAGAGGCCTATGCCCCAGCTCGAGCCGCAGGTCGGGAGCAGCAGGCGCCGTTGGCATGGAGCGAGAGACGTCGTTGGCAAGGGAGGGCGGTGGAGGTTTTATTTGAAGGAGGACATGAGGCAGCGACACCCGGGCTGTCTTTACATCGCTGCCATGCCCAACTGTCACGAGGCTGAGGCGTGCGTGCACCCCGCTGAGGAGGCTGAGGGACGGCGAGGAGGCTTCAAGAAAAAGGCGGCGGAGTGGGGTTGCTCTGGATTTACTTGGGAGTTTCATAGCAACTCATGACAACAGTATTCCAAAGCGATGCACACAAATATTCAAAGACCACGAACGCTGCGAGCGCGGCAAGAACAGCTGATGAGGCGGCGGTGGAAAGGGCATTCTTCGGGCAAGGATGGCATGAGGGTGGAGTCTGTCCTGTTTTCGGTGGCGGCGTTGGAATTGTCCGGTTGGGCAGAGTGGCATGGTCACTGGCGGAGGGTTCTGCAGCAATCGCGAAGCTGAGCCGTTCGGGAACTTGAGCGTGAGCTCGAATCCAGAGGCCTGCGCTCGAGCTCGAGCCACAGGTGGGGAGCAGCAGGATGTTACTTCCAGCAGCTACAAGTTGCCTGGCAAAGGCCGAGGGCCGGTTGTTAGCCTCCACAAGACCCGAGGAAGCGGAACCCACGTGCACCCTCACCGGAAAGACACTTCGATTGCTGGCGGCAAAAGCCATGGCCATCTCCCTCCACGCAAAGCAAGCAAGTCTCCGCGCTGTTCAGCTCCTCCCCTGGGTTCACCCCCATTTGGGATCGTGGCCAAAAAATAGCTGAAACATGCTGAAACTCAGGCAAATGGTCAGAAATGAAGCCCAAACTTCCGCCCTGGTGAAAAACGGGGATACACCCTTTATATACTGGCTACTGACCGTATATCCCATCAAACCCCCAGCTTCGGTTTTCGGTTTGGCGTTGGACACCTCAGAATCTGGTGACTGCAAGAAGAAGATCTGCTCCTTCAAGAAAAAGAACAGAAAAAGCGCTGCCAAATGGCAGGTCTGAAGCCAGGAGATGAGGAGTGGGATGGAGTGGGGGTGGCATTTGGCACAAGGGGCAACGATACAGCTCCGCATCATCGGAACAAACATTTGCTTGAGATCGGTCCTTGAGCAGACGGACCCGTCCTGGGGTGTTGGACACCTTGTTGGAATGAAGGCCTGGCCGATCGAGTTGAGCGTTCTGACGGCATGAAGGGATGTGCGAGGGCCACCGACATCTTTTGCCTTGATAGAGCGGGCAGCCCCGCTCGCAGGGTGCGCGCGCCTGGACATCCACTTGAGACTTGACACCTTCGTGGAGCTGCTGGCCTGAAAGCGTCGAGCCATCATAGGCAGACTAGGCGGAAACGCAACTCAAGGTCTAGAGGTTGAGGCTCTGCATGGAGGACCGCAGGATGGAGGGACATGGAGGGACCGCAGGATCCGGAAAGCTCTGTAGCAGGGATGCGAGAGAGGGCAGAGGAACTACGCGAGGTGGAGAAGGATGAAGAGGAGGGTGGCAACAATGCCGTCAAGATCAAGGACGATGGAGAGAAGAGGCTGAAGAAGGCTCAAGAGAAGCAGGAGGTGGTGCTCAATCACCAGCTGAAGGAGGTGGCTGACAGCTCCGGAGTTCACCTCCACGGAAGCTCGGCAGTCGGCACCAGACTGGATGACTATGCGAACAATGACGGCTGGGAGCTGCTTGGAGGTGGCAATGACACGAACGCTCCGAGTGAGGGAATGAGCTTTGCGCCTTGGCGGGGCAGACATGCAAGGGTCTGCAGAACGAAGCGGGAAACAGGTGATTGATGATGGAGCTGTGGCGAGGTTGCCCAAGTTTGCCAAGGTGCCCTGACGTCGGAGGTGAAGAGGGCATAGTCTACTGCAAGCTCGCGGAGGGAGATCATGGCCATCACAAGGAGTGAGCGGTGAACGCAAAGCCTCTGAGCAGTGGCTTGTTTGGTCCAGGAGTTGGAGGACATGGAGCCACGTGCAAGCTGACAACGTGGTCGAAATCACGACGATAATGGTTCAAACGCTGCGGGAGGCACCCAAACTTCGAACACCAAAGTCGTCAACCTTGAAGAAATTGGGCACCAAAACTGAGCCTGGGGCGCACTCGTTGAAAAAAGAAGTTTGAGAAGCTTGGCAATTCAGATCTGCCGCTCCGATGCGGGCCGCAAACGTTGAGAAATCATGTGAGATGTTGCTCTTGAGCCTGCTTACCGCCCATCCTAGAGCAACAGAGTCATAGGGTCTGGCAAAATTACAGGTCAAGTACCAACTCAAATTCATGAAGAAGCGCAGGTTTGCACACGAGCCAATGATGGAGGTTGAACATATACTCAAGGTCCCGCGACGCTCCTTTCATCGCATCTTTCGCAAGCTAAGAAGCTATATGAAGATCTACGAAACTCTCAAGCGCCACTGGCTGCTGTGACCCAAGCGGAAACCGGAAGCAGGAAGCTTTCAAAGAGCTCGGCTGGATCCTAGAAATCCAATCGAGACTCTAGACTAAAACCAGCACTTTTTCCCAATGCATCTAAACTATTATATTCCACGTGCTGGTCAAACATGCGGTTGTCCTAACATACCAATCATCCAATCGGCCAGGTAAAGAAAATAAAGCTGTATTTCCGATGTCACTTCCCAGCCCCCATCATCCGGAAGTTTGGGTACATCTCGGGCAGTCAACAAGAATCGTGACCCAAACTGAAGATATTTTGCAAGCCGATTGTTCCTCACACTTCTAGATGCGACCTCCACAAGTTCGACCCGCCCGTGGCCACGCCTCGGCGCCTGCGTCAGCGATGTCGTTCAAGTCAAGCTCGATCAGCACGATGGTTCTGTTGATCTTCAGTGCCTCAGCGATGGCCTGGCAGAGCGTCGAGGCCGACCCTGTAGGACCTATACGGCTGGAAAGAAAAACACCCAAAAGGTTGAACAATCCACTGGGAATTTGGAGTTTTCACTTCGTAGCAACGAACAAGTTGGTGGCAATTCGCAATGATGTCAAAGAGATCAAGAAAATGATTCGACATTCCGACCGCAACCTCAGCGAACTGCGAAAACATGGGTGACAGCCAAAAATATTGACTGCCTGCCTTCCATAGCTTCAAAAGCTCATGCTCATGAGCCCCGAGTTCGGCAGGAACCGGCCGATGAGGTGTGCCGACAAGGTGTACATCGTGGGCCTGGCGCTCTAGTGGAAGGTGAGGCATGGCAGATTGACCAAAAGCGGGTGTTGGAGGAGTGTCCAGCGCAGGAGGTGATGACAACTAACTGAAGCGCGAGAAGTGGATTGGGGGTGGACGTTCCCTAGTCGCTGCTGAAACTGAAGCTGAAGGAGATGTTCCTGGAAGTGCCGAAGGGCATATTGGAAGAGGAAATTAAATGGGCCCTACCTGCAGCGCAAGATCAGGGAGCTCATGGGTTCTTGACGCCTGGGCTCGAACCCAAAAGCCGATCCTCGAGCTCAAGCCGCGGAGCAGCGAGAGCAGATGGATGACACAGGTTGGCAGCTGACAGAAGACCTTGGGACAGGGGGAATGTCTGGATATTGTCCGGGTGGAAACCCCACAGGTCGAAAGACGGAGGCCGGTAGATCTGAGACGAGAAGTACCTGAATCAAGGTCGCAGCAAGCCTGGGCCGTAATGAAGGTATGCGGGCCCAGGACATCTGCCCAACGCTCGTCTGAGGCCGACGTGGCCGCCTCGGGAGAGAGGGACCTGCTTGGGAGCGCCAAGAGAAGGCCGCCATCCCGATGAAGCACAGGGATAGTCAAAATTCCACGGAAGTCCCGCACAAAACTTGGCCAAGTGAAAACGGCCATCATGGATGGCCGCAAGGAAAAGCCAACCCCCGACGTGCAGCAGAAAACCTGGGCCTCGGCCAGGGACGGAAAGGAGTGGTAGACGGCTGACCGCACCCACAATGCCACGGAGCTCACTGAGGGGCACGAGGAAAGCACGAGCCGAGGTGCCAGCTCAGCACGGGACTTAGAAAAAAACCGGCCACAGAAGTAAGCCGACGACACAAAGCCAGGCAATGAGCTGGGCACTGAGTGCCCGAGGCAGGAGCGCTCGGGGGAGCAAAAGAGGCAGCACCGAGGGCGTTCACCACCCGATCGGAATCACTCATGCACGAGTGAAGGGGAGCCGCAAGGCCTGAGTCCACCCCAGAAGAAAGAGACGACCCCGCAGCGGGGGAGAGGAGCGCCTCACAGAAGAACAGAACAGTGACCACCACGCCAAGAAGGGAAAAGGCAGAGCCAAGGCAAGCTAGCGGCCATTCCCTGCTGAAGGAATGGCAAGGCCGAGGAAAGCCACGGGTGCATCAACCCAGCAGCTTGAGCGAGGTGCAGCAGTTGCATTCACAATCATCCTTATGCATCAAGCAGAAAGGGCGATCAGGACGGTGAAAAAGATGATCACAGAAAGATTGAGAAAGCACAAAGATAAGACATGGGTTCAGATGATGGAAGCATCAGTAAGATAGTACAACAGCGAAACACATAGCACAACAAAAATGTCAACGAGTACGGCTCACCATTGGATAGCGCGGTTCAAGTTAGATCAAATATTATATTGAACGAAAAGCATAACCGCAAGAACCCAAGGTGATTCTGCTAGGGCATTTGATAAAGGTAAAGGTAATCCTGTTTCAAGAAAGGAGACGAGAAGTCAGTGGAGCGAAACAAATATGGAGTCGGTGTGAGCAACGCGGAGCTGGGCTTTTGCTTCGGGCGTTGCCCCAGGGGACAGCCAGGGGGCCGGCGGAAAGGCAGAGCCTCCTCAACTACCTGCTGGAGCCAAAGGTGAATGGGAACACGGCGCCGGCGGCGGTGCGGCAATGGCGGAGGTGGTACATTTGTGCCATGGAACTGAAGCTGGCGATGCTGGATCCCTCGCTGTTGCTGAGGGCGCTGGATGGCATGACCAACGGGATGGCCAAGGAGGGAAGCCAGGCCCACTTCAGGTTGAGCTTGTTCAGAAACAGCCTGGAGGTGGACGTCACACCGACGCAGAATGGCATCGGCCTCAAAGACGGACGAGAAAGTGGTGAGCAGTCAGGGCAGAGAAGGCGAAAAGAAGCTCTGTGTGTACTTTGCAGGGGAAGGATGCCGGATGGGCACAACAGAAAAGACCCCTGCCCAGGTGCGAGCCTTCGATGCGGTGGACGCCCAGGATGCTGCAGGGCATCAGTCCACCCTGATCACTGTCGGGGCTCGCCTGTACCCCTCCTTGGCCAAAAAACATGGTCTGCGGAGTTACCAGTGCTCGCATGCCACAGGACTCTTCGCTTACAAGATTCGCAGGGGCCGCCGCCCGGCCCTGCGCATTCACACGGGGCATATCGATAGCACATGGCGGCTCTTGAAGCAAAGCCTTCCTCACCGCCTGGCATCGAAAAGTACCAAGACAGGCTCCTGGGATTCAAACCTGGAAAGAACACATTCTAAGTTGCGCTGATTTCAAAACTAAATTTGTGATGGTTGCTTGGCTCTGATGCTGAGGCTCCTTGAACCCCCAGATCAAACAGTACGCGCTGCAATGGCGCAAACCGGCAAGGCACTCAAGCGAAGGCATGCCTGACACGCACCGCTGCACGCGGTCGGGCTTGGAGATGAGAAAAAGTGCGGCGGTAATCGTGGCGTACGGATGTTAATGCATTGTTGTACTTCTAGATATGTGCAAATGCATGTGCAAATGTATGTGCTTAGCAACATTGTTTCAAATGAATTTCTCTCATGTTCTCCGGGTACGTGCTCAAAGCGCTGTCCCCCCTTTTTGATTAAACTTGGACTTGGACCGAAACAAATAACTGCTATACACGTGGCATTCCAAAGCACGTTTGCAGTTGAGCGGTTCAGCAAGGCAGGGCAAGCGCGCTTTCCTCCACACGTCTTCAAATTGATTGGTATTGCACCTGTGCAGGCACAACAAGTGCCTGGCTGTTGACCAGCGCCGGCAACTGTGGCTGGTCCTGTACCCGTTGCACGCATTCCCTGCTTGACTTGAACACCACAGCTGGATGTTCAAAAATGTGAGCATGGGCCTTCCTAACACTTCAAGTCAAGCGAAGTCACACTGCAACGAAGCGACTGTGCCCGCTTTAATGTACGAGGTGAAACAATGCGTGCCTGCTTGGCCTCAGTCCAGAATAGCAAGAGACCAAAGCAAAATCAGGCCCGCAACGACGCAAATTGACAAGTGTAAAATCATGCTGCGCTGCTAAGGGAGGGGGCTACGCTGACGCAACTCCAGCTGATGGTAGCACGAAGCCATAGCAATCTGCCCTGAGAGCTGGACGATTGCAAAACCCAAAGCTGAAAGGATTCGAAACCAAGTGCTCGGCTCATCTGTATCACGAAGACTTGCTGACATCTTCTCTTCTTTCACCCAGCCCCCGTCCTGCAAAGTGAAGCTGAGACACGGCAAGGGGGTGAGGTGTGGGAATGGAGCAAATGGGTGTGTTTTTCGACACGCAACGCTCTCCTTCTGGCGGTATACATCAATCTTGGATGCTGCAATGGTCAGCTTCTCCTTCTTCTCAATTGCCTCCAGCTATCAGAATACAACTGTCTCAAAGAACGGACAAAGAACCAACGCAACCCGCTTCTGAGCGCATGGCTTCTTTGAGGTCATCCACCTGACATCCCCGCGAAGCGTGAATCCGAAAAAGAAATCGCAGCTGAGGTGGGCACATCTACAACACTTGCAGTAATTTTGAACGCGTTGCCAATCAACTCCAACTCCTCGCCGTCCTCCAACTCCACAAGCACTGCAAACCACTTTAGGCAAATTTCATCCGTTGCCCAGCAGTGGCCCAGAACACAAAAGTGAGGAAAGAAACGCTTGAGGACCGCTGCAAATCCCATTTGCCTTGCATTATGGGGGGTTCGGCAATTATACGAGAGACCATACGAGAAGGAAATCATGCACATGTCTTTTGACTGCTGTCCTTGAACAGGGACATGAATGCAACGCTTGCATCAAAGTTGTAGTCCTTGCGGGGCTTGCTGAGCTGACGGACCCAAACAGCTCGAGGTGCTGTGGTATCAGTGCCTTGCAGGGCGCGCTCATGAAGCTGTTTGCAGCAAGCGTCCTTCTACAGCAACAGTGTAACAAATATTGGTTGTCCTCAACATAAACTGCTCTGCAGGGGGGGCTCAGATGCTAAGTCGATTTGAACCACAACGGTTTTTGTTCCAGACACTGTTTTGCGGCTGAAAGCGACACAATCTTGAAACATGGCTTGCGCAAATGACACGGAAAAAAAACGAAACGTTTAAAATATTTGGTCTAATCGCTTGAATCCATGAATTCCCTGCGGGCCGCCGTATGGAATCCATGGGGCTGCTTTCAGGTTTCAAGTGCAGGCAGCTGCTTTGTTCCGTATTTGACAAAGGAGCTTTTAATCCATGCTGCTATGCCTGGCATGTTCATCTGCTTGTGACGTGTCATTAACAGGGCTCTGCAAGTGTGTGTGGGTGACATCTGGCTGCGCTGACAAATTAAATATGCAAAACTCACCCCCTTTCTCTCGGTCATTCTAGCACAACTGGCTAATTGTGCTTATGTCGTTCTGATGTCGCTCTGGCCCCAGACGGTTTGGCCCTTCAGCACTTATGCAGATGTCGTTCTCATGTCGTTCTGATGTCGTTCCCCTTGGAATTCAACAATTTTAACATCCCAAATGACATGCTGAATTCCACGCGGGCCGCTGTGTGAAACCTAGAGAAGGAAAAGTAATTGTAAAGGCCCGCACTAAACGAAAAGGAGCGTTTGTTTTTTCCCCGGCTCAAATGAGAAGAGCTCCAAGTCGGCTTGCCCCCGGCCGTCCTGATGGAAAGATGTTCTTGAGCTTGTCGGCAATCTTGAGGCGCATGTGGTAGGAAGACGGAATGACTGCCCACTCACAGGACGTGTTTGTGAAGATGTCGGGCAAACCGAAGGTGATGGCACCCTTCTCAATCACGCCCCCGACATTCTCCTCCGCTATCATCCTCGCACCCTTGTCTGTCTTGACATTTCGCACGGGCGAAAAGCCTTGTTTCGCCATGTTCTCGAGGTGCGCCCTCGCCTCCGGATCTTCTACACAGGATGGTAAGCCAGGGCATCTCACAGCTGCAAAAGGGTCAAAGGCATCTTTCTTGTCCATGAGCATGTCGAGAGCCTGCTTGGTGGTGTAGATGTCACCGCCAAAATACGTGTAGAACATGTTTGCCAAGTTTTCATCCATGCCCCAGTCATCTTGCAGCATCTTCAGCATGGCAACTTTTGGCACCTCGCCAATCACAATCACCCTCCCAATGTCCCTGAGGTCTAATCCTGTTGCCTGCAGGCGGAAAGGGTAAGCAAATTCTGATGAAATAAGCACTACGCTTGTCAGCTTGCCTTGTTTTGTCCAAGCTGTGATGGCTGCCAAGGCAGACTTGGCTTCGCCCCTCTCTCCTCCATCCTGTCCGTTTGTCAGCCCGGGCAGACCCAGGTTGGCCTCATCCACAACGACGGCGCTTCTCTTCGAAGAAGCTCTCACCCTACTCAGAAAAGCATCGATTGCCGACCGAACTATTCTCCTGCTGGTTGCAATTGCAGCCATGTCTTTCATGAAGGTGCCCACCGGATTCGCTGCCGGGCCAAGGCCCTCAATTGCGGACACAGCAGAGGATATGATGCCCAACACAGATGGAACGTATTGACTGAAATCGTTGTCACCAGCTATCTCCTTCAATGTCTTGTTGGCAGTCAAGAGGATGGCATCCAACAGACTCGTGCCTGGCATGTCTCGCATATCTGCTGAGACCACCACTACGTTGGAGCTGCATGCTCGTAGTGCGGCCTGTTTAAGGAACGTTTTTCCCAGATTTTTGCCCCCCAACACCAGTGTGAGCAATCCTGTGCTTTCCATGGACTGGACCAGGGCCTTTACGGCTTCATCTCTATCGACCACTTGGCTAGAATTCATGTGCTGACCAGCACGCGTCTTTATTTCTGTGATGTAGGCCTCAACATCTGTCTTGTTGTTGCCAGCCACTTTCTGAGCAGCTCCCCAGAAATGGCTGCCACTTTTTGTTTCACCAGCCGCAGCACGGACAGGACAACGCGGCATTGGGCGGGTTTCTGTCCGTGGTGCCACAAAGCACCACCCAAGAATACTCGCATAAAGCACAAACGCCAATGTGCCGCGCCGATGGCGTTCTCGCAACATCGCGTATCGTGAACAAACTTGTTGTGGAACGACTGGGCGGGACAATGAGCCTTCATGTGTCGCATGCACATCTTTGGTTCACTCTTATGGTTCATGAAGGCGGCACATGACAGGATAAATATTGTGCTCAGTTCTTGCGTATCTGCGCACGTGCAGGGTGGTGCCATCCAGATTTGCGTTCACTCGATCTTGAAGCTGATTTTCAAACATGAACATGCCCGCAACCCAAGCACATGCCACCAAACGCAACACGCTGCGCATTCAAACCAAAACCGCCTAGGACCTGAACGTCAAAATCAAGCGCATTAACAAACAAAACCCCAATTGATGTTCAAAAATGTGGGCATGGGCCTTCCTAACACTTCAAGTCACGCAGAGTCACACTGCAACGAAACGACTGTGCTCATTTTTGTTTTCTTCTGCACAACAATGTATGCCTGCTGGGCCTCAGCCGAGAACAAGAGAGCACAGCGAAATCAGGCCCGCAACGGCGCAAATTCACAAGTGTAAAATCATGCTGCGCAGCTAAGCGAGGGGCCTACGCTGACGCAACTCCAGCTGATGGTAGCACGAAGCCATAGCAATCTGCCCTGAGAGCTGGACGATGGCAAAACCCAAAGTTGAAAGGATTCGAAACCAAGTGCTCGGCTCATCTGTATCACGAAGACTTGCTGACATCTTCTCTTCTTTCACCCAGCCCCCGTCCTGCAAAGTGAAGCTGAGACACGGCAAGGGGATGAGGTGTGGGAATGGAGCAAATGGGTGTGTTTTTCGACACGCAAAGCTCTCCTTCTGGCGGTATACATCAATCTTGGATGCTGCAATGGTCAGCTTCTCCTTCTTCTCAATTGCCTCCAGCTATCAGAATACAACGGTCTCAAAGAACGGACAAAGAACCAACGCAACCCGCTTCTGAGCGCATGGCTTCTTTGAGGTCATCCACCTGACATCCCCGCGAAGCGTGAATCCGAAAAAGAAATCGCAGCTGAGGTGGGCACATCTACAACACTTGCAGTAATTTTGAACGCGTTGCCAATCAACTCCAACTCCTCGCCGTCCTCCAACTCCACAAGCACTGCAAACCACTTTAGGCAAATTTCATCCGTTGCCCGGCAGTGGCCCAGAACACAAAAGTGAGGAAAGAAACGCTTGAGGACCGCTGCAAATCCCATTTGCCTTGCATTATGGGGGTTCGGCAATTATACGAGAGACCATACGAGAAGGAAATCAAGCACTTGTCTTTTTTGACTGCTGTCCTTGAACAGGGACATGAATGCAACGCTTGCATCAAAGTTGTAGTCCTTGCGGGGCTTGCTGAGCTGACGGACCCAAACAGCTCGAGGTGCTGTGGCATCAGTGCCTTGCAGGGCGCGCTCATGAAGCTGTTTGCAGCAAGCGTCCTTCTACAGCAACAGTGTAACAAATATTGGTTGTCCTCAACATAAACTGCCCTGCAGGGGGGGCTCAGATGCTAGGTCGATTTGAAGCACAACGGTTTTTGTTCCAGACACTGTTTTGCGGCTGAAAGCGACACAATCTTGAAACATGTCTTGTGCAAATGAGAAGAGCTCCAAGTCGGCATGCCCCCGGCCGTCCTGATGGAAAGATGTTCTTGAGCTTGTCGGCAATCTTGAGGCGCATGTGGTAGGAAGACGGAATGACTGCCCACTCACAGGACGTGTTTGTGAAGATGTCGGGCAAACCGAAGGTGATGGCACCCTCCTTAATCACACCCCCGACATTCTCCTCCGCTATCATCCTCGCACCCTTGTCTGTCTTGACATTTCGCACGGGCGAAAAGCCTTGTTTCGCCATGTTCTCGAGGTGCGCCCTCGCCTCCGGATCTTCTACACAGGATGGTAAGCCAGGGCAATCCACAACTGCAAATGGATTGAACTTATCTTTCTTGTCCATGAGCATGTCGAGAGCCTGCTTGGTGGTGTAGATGTCACCGCCAAAATACTTGTAGAATATGTTTGCCAAGTCTGCGTCCATGCCCCAATCTTCCTGCAGCATCTTCAGCATGTCATACTTCGGCACCTCGCCAATCACAATCACCCTGCCAATGATGCTCAAGGCTAAGCCGTTTGCTAGCAAACGAAACGGATAGCCAAACTCTGAAGATATCATCATCACACTTGCTTGGCCTGTCTGTTTTGTCCACTTTGTGATGGCTTGTAGAGCTGATTTAGCCGCAGCGCTTCCATCTTCTCCCGTAATTCCAGGCAGTGCAAGGTTTGCATCATCGATGATGATGCTCGGAATCTTCCGACGGCTTATGCTCTGGGAGATGAAGTTGTTGACGTTGATTTGATGACGTGATACTGCGACATCCAGCACTTCCTTCGCCGCCGCTCCACCCCCACGAATTCTGTTAAGAGCGTAGTCGACAGGGAGCTGGAAAATTGCGCGCAACATCTCCACCGCCAAACGTGCCCACCCAAGGGACTTCTGCCGTTGCAAGTCGAGTGCTGTCATCAGACCCTTGCCCAGCATGTCTGCGTCCCGCATGTCGACCGAAAGGATGTTCACATTTGCCTTTAGTCTGGAAATAGCTTTTTCCTTGAGCAATGTTTTGCCCAGGTTTCTACCCCCAAGCACGAGGCAAAGCTTGCCTTGTATTGTTATGTGTTTGCTGAGGTTGGTAACAGCATCCTCACGATCTACTGCAGCTCTGCTCTGCAGAAACTTTGTGGCTGTACGGTTGACCTCTTCGAGGTATGAACCTGTTGCGCTGTTGGTCGCATTGGCTGCCGCACCGGCAACTTCCCAAAAGCTCACATTCTTCAGCGACAGGCAGAGGCATGCTTGGCATCGTTGCGGGCGCACTCTGTACAACCCCACACGTGCTGGTGCAACGAAGCACCCAACACCACAGGCAAGCAGCATGCACCAAATCGCACCACGCCCATGGCGCCACTTACCGTTTCTCATGGCTTGAGGAACGGCTTCAACACATGTTTATGGAAAGGCCTTGGCGACTTGTTCAAGGCTTGGGCATTGAGCCGATCTATGCAAAACATTTGTTCAAGCCAGCTGAATGACCAACATGACATGAGGTTTGAAGAAAGAGATGTCCACTCTAATCTTTGCCCAAGTCACCGCGGACAACTGCATCGAAAAAAGCGCTATACAAGTATGCTTACTGGGCTGATTACTTTTCCCGAAAGTAAAGATTCAACAAAGCAGATGCACTACCAGTTCAGGGCAGATCCTCAATGGTTGGTACTGCATCTGCGCACTTTGGCACAAGGCAAAATGCCTCGGTGGAACAGCTGATGACCAGCGCCGGCAACTGTTGCTGGTCCGGTACCCGTTGCGCGCACATGTTCTGCTTGTCTTGAAAACAGCAGCTTCATGTTCAAACATGTGAACGTTGACCTCCCTTGCCCCTCAAGTCAATCAAAGTCGTTCTGCAACAAGGCCACTGCCCCTGCATGTTTCTGCACGAGGTGAAACATTGCGTGCCAGCATTGCCTCAGTCGAGAACAGCAAGTGACAACAGCCAGCAATAGTCTGGCCACGACGCAAGTTCACAAATGCAAAAGGCTGCTCTGTTGAGGGAGGCGCCTATTCAGAAACGGGTCCAGCTGGTCGCACGAAGCCATAGCAATCTGCCCTGAGAGCTGGGCGACGGCAAGTCCCGGAGATGAGAGGCATCGGAACCAAGTGCTCGGCTCGTCTGTCTCACGGAGACTTGCTGACATCTCCTCTTCTTTAACCCAGCGCCCGTCCTGCAGAGTCAAGCTGACACACGGTAAGAGGGGTGGAGCGTGATTTTCGACGGGCAAAGCTCTCCTTCTGGCGGTATACATCCATCTTGAACGATGGAATTGAGAGCTCTGCCTTGTTCTTTATGCCCTGAAGCTATCAGAAGTGAACTGATGCATTATGTACAGTCAAGCGGAAGGTGGAATGCACCGCTCCATGGCTTCTTTCAGGTCATCCACCTCCCTGCAAAGCAAAAGCTAGGAGCAGTGCAACAGGTCTTTATCAATCCCATTGGCACGGCGACCGCCAGGCAGCGCTCGGAAACCAAATCCGCACCCGCGAGTGCTCCAGAAGCGCAATCCCACTGCACGGCCATTGCCAGGCAGTGGAGACCAAGTTTCACCGGCCGCGCCCGCGCAAGCAGCGCTCGAAAACCAAATCCCGGCGACGGCTCTGTCCGCACTCGCGAACCTTCCGATCCCGGAAGCACCATCCCACTGGCACGGCCACCGCCAAGTGGCGCTCGGAGACCAAATCCCGGAGTGTTCGCAGGCGCGGACGGAGCCGTGCCGGTGGGATGCGGTCCGCTGCCTGGCAGTGGGATTGTGCTTCGGGATGGGAGCGTTCGGTGCGGACGGTTGGGATTTCGCTTCCGAGCGCTGCCTGCTGGTATTGGACCTGAGCACCTGCGCACCCCTTTGAGAAACAACAGAAGCGTACGAGAGATGCGCCTTTGGTATTTGTTTAGGAGCAGCAGCCAACGCGCAGGGAAACCTCTCTGCCTTTTTCGGGCCTCTTGGCAGGCATGTCTTGTACTTCTGAGGCTGCAAGTCATCCGAACTGCGCGACGTGAATCATTCGCGGCGCTGGATACTCTATAGCCCGTGCTGAGGCCAACTTTGTTCCGGGCTTCGAGGATGTGGGAGCGGCTGACTTCTGAGACGCTAGCATGTTTGTCAGCTGTGTGCTTGGAGCTTCTGGAGTATGAGTGCTGCCATGCCGCCAGACGGGATCCGGAGTCTGCGTGTTGCAGTGTGTTTTTGAGATGTTTTCCAGAACAAAGACAGGCACGCGACACAGGAGAAACGGCGCGCTGCTTCCGGCATGTACGGGGCACTTGTCAATGCTGCCTTCCTGGCTTGAAATGTCAACCCGCTTTGGCTTAAATGCCCCAGGGATCCGAACGCCCGAGCATGCCGAAACGCAAGAGAGGATCCAAGGCCGAGCCTCAGTGCACGTGGTGCGGCCACAAAGGCCGCTACGCGACCTCGTGCGCTTCCTTCGTGAAGAAGGTCTTGAGTGCTCTGCACAGTGAGAAAGCCAAGAAGACAAACCGAGCAGCCAGAAATCGCAGGAGCCAGTTCCGAGCCCCTGGGCCCCCAGGCCTCGGAAGCAGTTCCAGAAGTCCGTGCTGACCTGCCGGAGTTGAAGAAAGCCGGCTGGGCTTGGGATCCGGTTTGCGGATGCGGCAAGAAGTTGCACATGGCGAAGTGGCAGTGATGTGTGCGCCGCGGGCAGGGCAGGCTGCTCTTCAGCTGCTGGACCTGCCGCAAGGACTATGACTGCTGCGTGTTCTCTTCCCTGCCTCCCACACGTCTCCCCCTGGCCACCGTGGTTTCCGCTCTGAAGTATTACTACCCGCGCGGAGCTGTGCCTACATTGAACCAGGTCGCAGAACATGTTGCATGCAGCGCGTCCCATGGTGGTGCAATTTGCAGACTGATCCGTCCACAGACGCCGCTGCGTCCACAGGCCTCAGAGGAGACCGGGAGGCTGATGGGATCACGCTGCTTCGCTGGAAGGTGCGTCGCGAGGGCACTGCGAGGCTCCGCTGGGCTCAGCTCTTTTTCGAAAGACCTTCGGCCATTCATCCACATGGTCGAGTACACTTGCACTTCTTGCCTGAGACGGACATCAAGCCGCATTCAAAGCCGCCAGTGGAAAGCTTGGAGCGCGTCAGCCAGGCCGGTTAGTTGCAGGTTTTGTGAATCTGCCTTTGTTAGTGTGACCACAACAGAAAAGACCCCTGCCCAGGTGCGAGCCTTCGATGCGGTGGACGCCCAGGATGCTGCAGGGCATCAGTCCACCCTGATCACTGTCGGGGCTCGCCTGTACCCCTCCTTGGCCAAAAAACATGGTCTGCGGAGTTACCAGTGCTCGCATGCCACAGGACTCTTCGCTTACAAGATTCGCAGGGGCCGCCGCCCGGCCCTGATGTGCAAATGTATGTGCTTAGCAACATTGTTTCAAATGAATTTCTCTCATGTTCTCCGGGTACGTGCTCAAAGCGCTGTTTCCCCCTTTTTGATTAAACTTGGACTTGGACCGAAACAAACAACTGCTATACACGTGGCATTCCAAAGCACGTTTGCAGTTGAGCGGTTCAGCAAGGCAGGGCAAGCGCGCTTTCCTCCACACGTCTTCAAATTGTTTGGTATTGCACCTGTGCACTTAGGCACAACAAGTGCCTGGCTGTTGACCAGCGCCGGCAACTGTGGCTGGTCCTGTACCCGTTGCACGCATTCCCTGCTTGACTTGAACACCACAGCTGGATGTTCAAAAACGTGAGCATGGGCCTTCCTAACACTTCAAGTCAAGCTAAGTCACTGCAACGAAGCGACTGTGCTCGTTTTTCTTCTGCACGAGGTGAAACAACAATGTATGCCTGCTTGGCCTCAGTCCAGAATAGCAAGAGACCAAAGCGAAATCAGGCCCGCAACGACGCAAATTCGCAAGTGTAAAATCATGCTGCGCTGCTAAGGGAGGGGCCTACGCTGACGCAACTCCAGCTGATGGTAGCACGAAGCCATAGCAATCTGCCCTGAGAGCTGGACGATTGCAAAACCCAAAGCTGAAAGGATTCGAAACCAAGTGCTCGGCTCATCTGTATCACGAAGACTTGCTGACATCTTCTCTTCTTTCACCCAGCCCCCGTCCTGCAAAGTGAAGCTGAGACACGGCAAGGGGGTGAGGTGTGGGAATGGAGCAAATGGGTGTGTTTTTCGACACGCAACGCTCTCCTTCTGGCGGTATACATCCATCTTGAACGATGGAATTGAGAGCTCTGCCTTGTTCTTTATCCCCTGAAGCAGTCAGAAGTTAACTGATGCACTATGTACTGTCAAGCGGAAGGTGGAACGCACCACTTCTAAGCGCGCGGCTTCTTTCAGGTCATCCACCTCCCCGCAAAGCGTGAAGGAACATTTCCGAAGGCAAAACAAAGCTGAGGAAAATACTTCATGAGCTGAGGGCACTGCGTTAGCCAAGACTCCCTTGACTTGAAAGGGGTTGCCGAAGGTCTCAAACTCCTTGCCGTCCTCGAACTTCGCCAGCGCTGCGAGTCACTTCATGTGTGGCATCGGCAATTTTCAAAAGAGCTCCGAACAAAACCAACTGGTTGTCTTCGTGAAGTCTTCAGTACCTGCCCCATCATAAACCAAGCATTTCACTGCACTGAGGAAATCAAGCACTTGTCTTTTGACTGCTGTCCTTGAACAGGGACATGAATGCAACGCTTGCATCAAAGTTGTAGTCCTTGCGGGGCTTGCTGAGCTGACGGACCCAAACAGCTCGAGGTGCTGTGGCATCAGTGCCTTGCAGGGCGCGCTCATGAAGCTGTTTGCAGCAAGCGTCCTTCTACAGCAACAGTGTAACAAATATTGGTTGTCCTCAACATAAACTGCCCTGCAGGGGGGGCTCAGATGCTAAGTGAAGCACAACGGTTTTTGTTCCAGACACTGTTTTGCGGCTGAAAGCGACACAATCTTGAAACATGGCTTGCGCAAATGACATGGAAAAAACGAAACATTTAAAATATTTGGTCTAATCGCTTGAATCCATGAATTCCCTGCGGGCCGCCATATGGAATCCATGGAGCTGCTTTCAGGTTTCAAGTGCAGGCAGCTGCTTTGTTCCGTATTTGACAAAGGAGCTTTTAATCCATGCTGCTATGCCTGGCATGTTCATCTGCTTGTGACGTGTCATTAACAGGGCTCTGCAAGTGTGTGTGGGTGACATCTGGCTGCGCTGACAAATTAAATATGCAAAACTCACCCCCTTTCTCTCGGTCATTCTAGCACAACTGGCTAATTGTGCTTATGTCGTTCTGATGTCGTTCTGGCCCCAGACGGTTTGGCCCTTCAGCACTTATGCAGATGTCGTTCTCATGTCGTTCTGATGTCGTTCCCCTTGGAATTCAACAATTTTAACATCCCAAATGACATGCTGAATTCCACGCGGGCCGCTGTGTGAAACCTAGAGAAGGAAAAGTAATTGTAAAGGCCCCCACTAAACGAAAAGGAGCGTTTGTTTTTTCCCCGGCTCAAATGAGAAGAGCTCCAAGTCGGCTTGCCCCCGGCCGTCCTGATGGAAAGATGTTCTTGAGCTTGTCGGCAATCTTGAGGCGCATGTGGTAGGAAGACGGAATGACTGCCCACTCACAGGACGTGTTTGTGAAGATGTCGGGCAAACCGAAGGTGATGGCACCCTCCTGAATCACACCCCCGACATTCTCCTCCGCTATCATCCTCGCACCCTTGTCTGTCTTGACATTTCGCACGGGCGAAAAGCCTTGTTTCGCCATGTTCTCGAGGTGCGCCCTCGCCTCCGGATCTTCTACACAGGATGGTAAGCCAGGGCAATCCACAACTGCAAATGGGTTGAACTTATCTTTCTTGTCCATGAGCATGTCGAGAGCCTGCTTGGTGGTGTAGATGTCACCGCCAAAATACTTGTAGAATATGTTTGCCAAGTCTGCGTCCATGCCCCAATCTTCCTGCAGCATCTTCAGCATGTCATACTTCGGCACCTCGCCAATCACAATCACCCTCCCAATGTCCCTGAGGTCTAATCCTGTTGCCTGCAGGCGGAAAGGGTAAGCAAATTCTGATGAAATAAGCACTACGCTTGTCAGCTTGCCTTGTTTTGTCCAAGCTGTGATGGCTGCCAAGGCAGACTTGGCTTCGCCCCTCTCTCCTCCATCCTGTCCGTTTGTCAGCCCGGGCAGACCCAGGTTGGCCTCATCCACAACGACGGCGCTTCTCTTCGAAGAAGCTCTCACCCTACTCAGAAAAGCATCGATTGCCGACCGAACTATTCTCCTGCTGCTTGCAATTGCAGCCATGTCTTTCATGAAGGTGCCCACCGGATTCGCTGCCGGGCCAAGGCCCTCAATTGCGGACACAGCAGAGGATATGATGCCCAACACAGATGGAACGTATTGACTGAAATCGTTGTCACCAGCTATCTCCTTCAATGTCTTGTTGGCAGTCAAGAGGATGGCATCCAACAGACTCGTGCCTGGCATGTCTCGCATATCTGCTGAGACCACCACTACGTTGGAGCTGCATGCTCGTAGTGCGGCCTGTTTAAGGAACGTTTTTCCCAGATTTTTGCCCCCCAACACCAGTGTGAGCAATCCTGTGCTTTCCATGGACTGGACCAGGGCCTTTACGGCTTCATCTCTATCGACCACTTGGCTAGAATTCATGTGCTGACCAGCACGCGTCTTTATTTCTGTGATGTAGGCCTCAACATCTGTCTTGTTGTTGCCAGCCACTTTCTGAGCAGCTCCCCAGAAATGGCTGCCACTTTTTGTTTCACCAGCCGCAGCACGGACAGGACAACGCGGCATTGGGCGGGTTTCTGTCCGTGGTGCCACAAAGCACCACCCAAGAATACTCGCATAAAGCACAAACGCCAATGTGCCGCGCCGATGGCGTTCTCGCAACATCGCGTATCGTGAACAAACTTGTTGTGGAACGACTGGGCGGGACAATGAGCCTTCATGTGTCGCATGCACATCTTTGGTTCACTCTTATGGTTCATGAAGGCGGCACATGACAGGATAAATATTGTGCTCAGTTCTTGCGTATCTGCGCACGTGCAGGGTGGTGCCATCCAGATTTGCGTTCACTCGATCTTGAAGCTGATTTTCAAACATGAACATGCCCGCAACCCAAGCACATGCCACCAAACGCAACACGCTGCGCATTCAGACCAAAACCGCCTAGGACCTGAACGTCAAAATCAAGCGCATTAACAAACAAAACCCCAATTGATGTTCAAAAATGTGGGCATGGGCCTTCCTAACACTTCAAGTCACGCAGAGTCACACTGCAACGAAACGACTGTGCTCGTTTTTCTTCTGCACGAGGTGAAACAACAATGTATGCCTGCTTGGCCTCAGTCCAGAATAGCAAGAGACCAAAGCAAAATCAGGCCCGCAACGACGCAAATTCACAAGTGTAAAATCATGCTGCGCTGCTAAGGGAGGGGCCTACGCTGACGCAACTCCAGCTGATGGTAGCACGAAGCCATAGCAATCTGCCCTGAGAGCTGGACGATTGCAAAACCCAAAGCTGAAAGGATTCGAAACCAAGTGCTCGGCTCATCTGTATCACGAAGACTTGCTGACATCTTCTCTTCTTTCACCCAGCCCCCGTCCTGCAAAGTGAAGCTGAGACACGGCAAGGGGGTGAGGTGTGGGAATGGAGCAAATGGGTGTGTTTTTCGACACGCAACGCTCTCCTTCTGGCGGTATACATCAATCTTGGATGCTGCAATGGTCAGGTATTGCCAGACATCCAGACTAGCCGGGCCAAAGTCACATGGGCATGACACTGGTCGCTTTATAGAGTCAATAGATGAATCTCCTCATCAACGACTCCTGGTAGCTGGTGCTAAACCGTGCTGCACTGTCAGACTGTGGTACACACGTTTTCAACTGGCTATACCATAGTTTGAACTTGAAAGAATCAGTACGGCTGCAGCATCGTATTCGTCTGAGTCTATGGCCGTCCGTAGTCCATCTGAGGCCTCTCCATCTTGACAAGCAGCGAGGCCCTTCCAATCATGAACACGGTCGTGCCAATTTCCAACTTGAAGAGATGGCATGCACATCAAGATAAGCAGGATTCCTTTGAGAAATTAGCGAGCGGGGGCTGAGGGGCAACCTGTGTTCACCATGTGTTATATAAGCCAATGTTGGTAGCTTCAAGTCTCTGTCTATACTCCATCCACAGTAATTAATAATTAGACATGATTAGAGCAGCAGTTATCCACGTGATGAACAAAGCTAAACTTAACACCACAAATACGTGATGTGTTTGTACTCTTCCAAATATCGTGCTGCTGATTAATCAACGTACTCGTGCAAAAAAGCTACAGCCGGTCGTCTGGTGCTGCTGACACTGTGCCGCTGACGCCAGGGAAAAGGTTCGAGATGATGTTCTCGAAGAGGGGCAGGTCATCTCTTCGGCACCTGCGCAGGCTCGAAAAACACTAGCGGCCCTGGCTATGTGCCATTGGGCCCACCTGTACATGAGCTGAAAAGCCGACCAAGGCTGCAAGAATTGTGACACAAGCGTGCTCAAACACCCTGGCTGGGAGAATCTACAAAACACTACACATGCGACCGAGCACAGGCTGGCACGTTGACGTCACGAAGTGCTCGCAGCAAGAGCTGTGACCTTTGGACGCGTCGGGCTGTGGCCCCAAGCAAAAAAATATCCAAACCACAAATCAATGCAACATGTCGTCAGGCTTGGTGGGTGAAATGTGCTAGTTGAAATATTGACGGATGTTGAAGGTAGCGAATCAAAACTGTTGCTGTTGAGTTCATTCCCTAATGCGCCAATGATGCAGCATTCAATCTGCCCAGCTCGCAGCTCTGACTGCATCTCCCAACCCCACCTCCACCTAATTCATGACCTTTTTCCTCCAGTTGCCCTACAAATCTACACATCCTGGCTAGGTCTTGTGCCCTCAATCCGAAGTACTCTCTGTCATCAGTTTGAAGCGGTCTTCACCGCCCGCATGCCGTAGTCCTCAAGCGCTGGTAAAGGGCACAGCCAAAATGGAAATGCTCAGTGAAGTTGACCTCAATTATTACACTTCAGTTTACAATGGGCATGAGGACGGGCTTGGGATCAAACAGACTTGTTAAGGGGATCAGATTGACTTGTTCACTTGCAGAAGCATCAGAAAGACTTGTGAAGCATCAGATTCGCTTGTAAGGGGGGTCAGATTAACTTGTGGGGGATCAGATTGACTTGTGGCCGTATCATCCTCATCATCCATCATCATCATCATCGGCGTCATCGGCATCATCATCATCATCATCATCATCATCATCATCATCATCATCATCATCATCATCATCATCCATCATCATCATCAGCATTATCATCATCATCCATCATCATCCATCATCATCATCATCATCATCGACATCATCATCATCATCAGCATTATCATCAGCATCATCACGACCATCATCATCATCGTCATCAACATCGTCATCATGATCATCTCATCTCTGCGTTATCATCAGCATCATTATCATCATGATGGTGATGACGATGATGATGATGATGGTGATGGTGACGACGACGATGGTGATGATGATGATGGATGATAATGATGCCGTCACGATGAAGATTCTATTTCTTCCATTTATGATCCGTATTGCCCGGGTCCAGCAGGGCAGGCTCCGCAATTGATTTTGCACAAACTTTATCAGCAGTAACCCTGAGGATGATGATGATGATAATGCATGATGATGATGATGGATGATGATGATGATGATTATGCTGATGATGATGATGCTGAGGATGAACGATGATGATGATGCTGCTGATGATGATGGATCATGAGGATAATGATAACGCCGACGATGATGATGATGATAGTGATGATGATGATGATGATGATGGTTAACGCTGCTGATGATGAATGATGATGATGGTAGGGAGGAGGATGACGACGATGATGATGATGATGATAGTGATGATGATGACGGACACTGCTGCTGATGATGAATGATGATGGTAATAATGATGAGGATGACGACGATGATGATGATGAATGATGACGATGACGACGGTGACGACGCTGATGATCATGATGAAGAATGATGATGATGATGATGATGACGACGGTACTGGTGCTGATGATGAGGGTGATGATGATGATGATGACGCCGATGATGATCCTGGATGCCCATGATGATGATGATGATGATGATGATGATGATGGATGATGGGGATGATGATGATGATGATGATGCCGATGATGATGATGATGATGATGCTGAGGATGAACGCTGATAATGATGATGCTGATGATGATGATGATGGATGATGAGGATGATGATGCTGATGATGATGATGATGCTGCTGATGATGCGACGATGAGGAGGATAATGCTGATGAAGGTTTTTATGATGATGATGAGGAGGACGACGATGATGATGATGATGAATGATGACGATGATGACGGCGATGATGCTGATGATTATGATGAAGAATGATGATGATGCTGATGAGGATGATGATGATGATGAAGGTGATGATGATGATGATGATGCCGATGATGATTATTGATGATGATGATGATGATGATGCGACGACTGTTTGATAATGATGATGATGATGCTGAGGATGATGACGCTGGTGATGATTATGATGATGATGACAATGATAATGGTGATGGATGATGATGGATGATGATGATGATGATCGATGGATGATGAGGATGAGGATGATGAGTAACGAACGATGGCTTTTCGGTGTGCAACTAACAAGCCAATCTGATGCTCGAAGCTTTCAAAGCCATAACAAGTCAATCTGACCCCTCTCACAAGCCAATCTGATCCTCACAAGCCAATCTGATCCCTCTCACAAGCCAATCTAAAAACAATCAAGCCAATCCAATCCTTCACAAGTGGTTTTGATGAGTTTTCAAATCACAAGCCAATCTGATGCCTTCCACAACCCAAATTGATGAGCAGACCCATGAGGACCCCCATTGCCAATACGTAAAGTGAGGCAAGTCATGTAGGCAGTTCGCCACCTGTTTCGCTGGGCTTCTGACGGAGGTATGGCAGCTCCTTCCTTCCCTTCAGGGCATCAAACACCCTGAAGCGGCCTTTGGAAAGCGAAAATTCCTTACAGACGAGTCCAGAAAAAACACTAGACGATTGGCCCCTTGAGTCTTGGCCAAGAGCCTGCCGGTTAAGGCATGTTGCACTGCTCCTAGCTTGAACCCAAACATGAAACCCTAAAAGAACAAAGCTCATCCGAAGCGGCCGCAGTTCTTTTTACCGGGATTGCTGAAAGTAGCACTGCTTCCAGGGCACTGGTGCCTCTCTCTTTAAAGGGCGTTTCCCAAATGGATTCTGTTCTACCTGAGAGGCTCCTAGCACTTGTCCGTCCAGGAAATGACCTCGTCCTGCGAAGGATTCGAAGTCTAAAACGCTGCGCGCAGGCGTGTGGCTGCAAAATAATGACCCCTAGATATGCTTGCAATTTGGCTCCAGGTTGCATTTCAAGCGCGCCTCCGGTTCAGCCGGTGCCTCAGCCGGTGCCTCTGCTGGTGCCTCCGCCGGCGCCTCAACCGGGGGCGGCTATGGCTTGCGCTTTGGAGCAGCCGGCTCAGTAGGCACGTCCTGCTTCGGTTTGTTCTTGCTGCCCCGCCGTTTCGGTTCCGGCGCAGCGTCCTGCGCAGCGTCCGGCGCAGCGTGTGGCACCTCTTGCGCCTCTTGCGCCTCTTGCACCTCCGGCGCCCTGTCGTGTTCGGTCGGCTCCATTTAATTATGCGTGGTCAAGATATAACACGAACGACAAAGACGACCCGCGAAGCCGGACGACGTTGCCGTCCAGGTCGGTCAGGCGGAAGCGCATGTGCCTCAGGGTAACCGGGCCCCTGAGGGCCATGAAGTGCCCGTCGTCT